GCACTGTAAATCACATCAACAACACAGATATATATTATCAAGGCCATGATTTTCCCAGTTGTAAGATATGGCTGTGAAAGTTGGACCATCAGAAAGGCAGAATGAAGATTGATGCTTTTGGATTGTGGCTGGAGCTGAAGACAATTGTTGAGAATACCTTGGACCACAAGAAGACCAAGACGTTCAATATCAGACTGAAGTAAAACAAGGCTTCTTGCTGGAAGCATTAATAACGAGGCTAAAACTTAAATATTTTGGAAGCTTCATGCAAAGGCAAGAGTCATTAAAGAAAACCTGACGCTTGGAAAAAATCAAAAGCAATTTTTAAAAGGCCGACAGAACACAGGGTGGTTAGATATCATCAGTGATGACATCATCAGGATCTCACAAGAATTCAAAGAAGCAGCTATTGACTATCCTGACAAAACAAATCCATCAAGTCATGAAGAGTTTGAAGCAACTCAGTGACTGAACAACAACAGTGAGCAGTAAACTATGGCAGTTCAGATGTGTACAACTATAACTCTGTGCATCCATAGGAAGCATGGCCAGTGGTGACGGATGTTGGGAATCCTAGTTCGATGACATTGGAAATACTATAGGCTACCTATTGCTGGCTTAGAACATTATACGAACCCAACCAGTCTTGGATTGTTAACAACAATTAACAACGATTAAATCATTATGGGTTAGTGCAACGCATGGACCCAAGAGGTAGGAACATCTTTGTTGGATTAGAGCAAAGGATAACCTAGTCCAGCATTTTATTTTCCCAGGAGGCCAATCTGCAGGTCAAGAGGACAACAGCAACCTCTGACCTGAGTTGCAACTATTATTCAGGAGGCCATCTGCATTTGATTCCACAGTCAGCCCGAACCTACCACTGAGTAGGGTGGGTAGTGGGAAGCTGGGCAGGATAACACAGAACTTCTGGGGGTATTGTCACACAATCTTGGTGCCTCAGCAGAATGGACAACACAGTGGGGAACAGTGTTGCTACTGTTCATTATGGATGATGGTGCCACTGGTCAAGCAATGTATCAGTCTCTCCACATTTCCATGGTTTTGCAATAGGGCACAGTTAACCAGAACTGGTATAAACCATAGTGGGTGATGTCATTGATATATCAGATCCCATGCCTCAAACTATTCCCATTTTCCACTGATTCCTGGCAGTGCTTCAGTCTTCATCCTATACATATTCTTCAGTGATGGTGCATCACTTTTTGAACAACAATGGAGGATCAGGGGAGATCTCATTTCTGTTACAGAGATAACATGTAGACGTGGTGATTCTGTGATTCATCTTCCTCCAAAAAGGGAGAATTCAATCTATACACTATGGGGCTTCTGCTGCACCAGCAGTCTTTGACATGATGGTCGCCTCTCAAGATGTGAACTTCACTGGTGGCTTCTCTGTTAATTGAAGCCTGATTGGTTCTGTTCCAGAAAAGTATAAACTAGTCTTTTGTCAGCTAAACTCTGAACCTAGGAGTTGGCGTACATCTTCCCATTCCTTTGAACAAGCAGCTAATGTCAAGCTGCTAATGTTCTGCATCTGAACAGGGATGAGTTGAACATGGAAACAAAGGCCTATTCTTTAATTAAATGAAATGATTCGTGCCTGAGTCTGTTTCAGCTTGACAGCAGAAAACTCATTACAACTTTGGCTAAGTCATCAGGGAATGTTCTTCTACATGACCCTGGCATTCACTTTTGAAGACTCTTGCCGAGATAAGAATAAAAAATATTTCTAATAACCTGTTAATCTTGCATAAATACCTCTCCCTGTAGAAGCTTGAAACGACTGGTCTTAATTCCAAAACCTACTGACGACTTAAGGTCTAAGCTGTAATTTTCCACAGTGCTTGAGGAGCTCAGGGTTGCTCCCATCTACAGAGTCCTGCCTGTTTTACAAGAACTTTGCTCCAGGCTGGACCTTCCTTTCCCATACAAGATATTTCATTAGTGATAATTGAGTAAGCAATGAAAGAAGCTAAGGAAGGAAAACAAAATGACCATAAACTTAGTTCTAAGGTAATTGAGAAGAGATGTTGATAGGAATGTCCTGGCAGTCTCCAAGTCCTAACAAGATTTAACCCTGCTTAGCTTTTTTCAAGTTCAATCAAAATTAACTAGGTGCTACCACCAGCTGGAAAATACTGGGTTTTTTTTTTTTTTTTTAGTACCCCATGTTTTAAATACATCCCCCATTTTTACGAAAGCATACCCTTCCAATTTATAGCAACCCAACAAATGCTTTATTGCCAAGAATTTTTTTCCATCACCTCTCCAGGCCAGTATCTCAAGTGCTGGAAAAAAATTAGATGTTTGTTGTTCTTTTCAAGTCTTTTATCACTTTCCATTGCTAGCACAGTTAAACATTGTAGGAGGGCTGTGTAAATCTGTAGTAACAAAAAATCAGAATAGGCCTGGTAGCACCTTTTCTGATGAACAATTTTATTAAAAGGCAGAAGTGTTTGTGAACCACAGCTCACAAAAGATTTTGCTTTTAATAAAATGGATTGGTCAGAAAAGGCACTACCAGATTCCTCTTGATTTTTAGCTTAGCTTAAAAATCTTTGTTTTATTGTGTCATAGAACTGGATACAACTCCTTATGATTTGCAAACACATGCTCATTTTTCCCCACCTTGAAAAACAACTTTCAGCATGTTTTCAGGTATAATCAAGATGAAATAGGGAGGAGTGAACACTTACTGGCTGGTGATCAAGACTGTAAATAATATAATCCACACTGTAACTGTGCAACTTCCAAAACAGCAAAAACAATGCACTCAACAAATATTCTGATAAGGTGAAGGATGAGTGTATCTATATTCACAATCACAGATGTGACACTGTAGAACACTAAAGTCTTTCTGGAACATGAGTCAGAGGGAATCTGAAAGGTGGGCACTTGCGTGCATAGCAAGTTATCAAACTTGAGTTCATATCTGCAGGTGAACAGTGCCTTATGACCACTCGTATGAAGTCTTAGTGTAGCCTGACCCTTAAATTTATAACTTTTATTCTAGCAATTTGTCCTTTAAACCACTCAGAGGCTAGGTTCACACAAGGTGCTTAAGCCATTAAATACAGTGGCATTTGCAGAAGCATTTTAAGCTCAGGCTTAATGTTGGCCAGGTTCTTTTCTCAATGTAGCTAAGCCTGTTGTATGAACTTGGCCAACTTGGCAGATTACCAATATATGTGCCAACCTAGAAAATGAATGAATTCAGTAACCAGGTTAAACATATTGTGTGAAGGGAGTTGATGTCACAACGAACAATACCATTTGGATTATTGCAATATGCTGTACATGGGGCTGCCCTTGAAGACCACCTGGAAGTTGCAACTGGTCCAGAATGCAGCGGCGCATGCAGTGATGGGCGCCTCTAGGTTTGCCTATGTTACATCTCTGTTGCGTGAGCTGCAATGGCTCCCAGTTTCCTTCCAGGTGCAATTCAAGGTCTGGTTATTACCTTTAAAGCCCTACCTGGCATAGGACCAGGCCATTTGCAGGACTGCGTCTCCCTGAGGGTATCTGCCCATCCCACTAGATTGTTCCAGTAGATCAGATCAGATGGGCATGCTCCAGGTCCCTTCCCTAAAATATTGTCATCAGGTGGGACCTTGGAAGTGTGACTTTTCTGTGGCTGGCCCTACCTTCTGGAGCACCCTACCCCCTACAATCCGGCAGGCCCCCACCCTTCTAGCCTTCTGGAAGGCCATCAAGACTTAGCTTTTCAATCAGGCACTGGGGTAGAGTGGTAGAGACTGCAGAGAGTTGTTGGGCCTCCCTGAGAGGTCAATCAAGGTGCTGGATTTTAGTTTTTATGTTTTTATGTTTTTTATAGTTTTATTGTTGTGAGCAGCCCAGAATTCTTTCAAGATGGGAGGCCATTCAACTCTTTTAAAATAAAATGTAAATCTTTTAAAATAAAAGAAAAATAAATAAATATAATCAATGGCAAAGGTGGAGACTGTTTTAATCTATGGACACCTATAACACCAAATTAAAAAAAAAAAAGATTGAATTGGTAGCCAGTTATTGGTGGCACTGGGTCTTTTATCCAATCAAGTTGGGCTGTTATTGTTGCTTTTTCTAAAAACTGTATAACAAGAGATCAAAGTCTCCAAAATTCTAAAGTCAGAAAGTAAGATTTCACTGTTACAACATGTTAATTATGCCCAATTACGTAGATATGGATCTAGGCTGTTGACGCTGCCTAGAAAAGTCAAGTGCTGTAATAACTTTCCCATGTAACTCAAAGAGGCAGGTTTCCAACATTTTGCTCTATGGCTTTGGTGTAGTCATGAAAAACAAACAACCTTTTGTGGATTAAAGTGCAGGAAAAACTGTCTTCATGTACGGCTATTTGACGACTGCTAAGTTTACCTGGCTTCAACTGGGAATGGATGGATCCCTGCTCCTGGACCTGAGATAACAATCATAGTTTGAACTCTACCATGCACTAAATTCATCAGATGCTGAGATATGTGGCTTTCCAAAACAGCAGCTGTAAGAAATTGTCAGGGAGATCTTCCACTGACTGGATGCCTTCAGTGAGATCTTCTTCAAAACAATCTGTCCCAAACTTGGTCCTTCAGATCTTCCAATGGTGTACCCATCACTGCTGTAATCAAGTCTATTCACCTTGCTGTTGGTTGTCCTCCTCTTCTTTTTCTTCCACCTTTCCCAGTGTTATAGATTTCTCCAGAGAGCTAGGTCTTCTCATAATGTGTCTAAAAGGTGATTATTTGAACATAGTGATTTGCACCTTAAGTGAGAACTCTGGATTGATTTGTTCGATGATCCATTCATGTTTCTTGGCTATCCACCATATTCTCAGCAGTTTTTTCCAACCCCCAATGTTCAAAACATCAATACTTTTTCTATCCTGCTTCTTCAAAGTCCAACTTTTGCTATGGGACATCTGAATATCTTTTCCAAGGTCTTCATTGCTATCCTACCAAGTACTAGTCTGTGATATATTTTTTGACTACTGGTTCTTTTACTGATGATAGTTGATCCTAAAAGGCAAGAACTATCCACCCTTTCAATGTCTTCAGTGTCAAGGGAGGTTGGTAAACTATCAGCCCCACAAACCTGGCTTGTGGGAGCTGCCTCAAACCCTTTCCCTTAAGCTGGGGCTAACTGAGAAGAGAGGCAGACTCCTGCCTCTGACTGGATGAATCCCTGAGTTAAGATTTTTAATGGCTGCCTTCACTCAATATATTTACCCAGGCCAGTTAAAGAACTAGCAACTGCCCTGCACAGTATGTAACAATTAGTGTTAGTTTTGGTTTGTTTGGGATAATATAGTACATGGCATACATTTGATTAATTTATGGTAGGGTGGAATTCAAGGCAGTGAGTTAATCCCATACCTGAGTTAAGGGTGTTGTTGGATGTAGGCAGCGAAAGAATATTGTGATCTTGAGGTTATCTTTAGCGTGATGAGTCTGTCCCACCACTGACAGTACGTATGGTCCTAAATTAAGGGTGGACAACTATTTGTTGGGGACCACAAAGTAGGTTAAGTTGAAGCAAGCAATAGATGCCAGGAAGACTCTAAAGTGTGCAGGAGGTATCCTTTTTTTCTCTGACACACTTTTTTCCTCTTTTTTTGACATTTTCTTTGTCTCTTCCAGGAACCAAACTAGAGGGAAAACCCGTATAGCTCATAAGTCTTCCAGGGAAAGAAGTTCTCAATTATATCATATAATTAGCCTCCGAGAACCATAGGTGGCCTTAAGGCACAGCTTGCCCAACTCTTATTCACCAAGGATTCCTGTCCCTTTAGGATGATCCCTTCCCTGATTTCTCCTGGCCCAAAATGAATGCAAAAATTGCACACCATTTTCTGCAGGTATATCTTATTTTAATGATATGGAATAGTCAGAGCTTTCAATATTTCATTCATTTATTTCCTGAAGGTAGATCTGCATACGTTATGGGTCATTAATGCACCCCAAATAGGACATAGAAATCAAAAGCTGGGGAATATGGCTGTATAGTGAGATAGCAACCGGTTGGGTACAGTGTTTGCATGCTGTCACGAATGGGTGGCAGATGGCTTTCATCTATGGACTGCAAAAACAAAACAAAACATCTTCCCCACTCCCGAAATTCTACTTCAGCTTTCCAACTTGGGTCCTCCAGGTGACCACACAGGCTTGGAATAATGGAACATCATGTGGGGAAACACCTCTCTCCACAAAGTTCAATGATACAAATGGAATTTGTGCAACAACCTATGTGAGTATGCTTAGTCATTGGGACAGAGGATGCCATGAAGATTTGCCACCTTAGTTGGCTTAGTGAAGGAGTAGATGTGTATCAGCAACCAAACCATCAAGGTAAATGTACACATGGTATTTACACTTATGTGAAGCTACTTCACTTCCTCATTTAGAAATGCTCCCATACCAAAGAACACAGCAAGGGGTACATGGCTGGTATCATCTTACCATAATCACGTGAACTTCAGACCAAGAGGCATTGGGCAAAGAGGTGGTTGGTTCTATCAGCGTTGTAGGGAAGAAAGAATTATAATGACCAGTGGCCCCTATAAACAGACTCAGAGCCAGGTTGAAAGGCAACGTGAAAACTGGCAGGTCCCATTTGCTGAGCAGCAAACCTAAAGCACTGGTAAAAATAGGGCTGGAAAAGAAGAATAAGAATTATTGCAGATAATTGCAGAAAACATAGTCTCATTTATGTTACAGACTTTACCAACGTTGATGGCTTCTCAGAAAATCTTGGAAGCTCCAGGAAGAGATGAAGACTTTCTTTACCAATGGCTACTCCCCTAAGCTACAATTCCCAGAATTTTTGGGGGCAATACCTAGACAGGGCAAGTAGTATAAGCCCAATATCAGTTTGCAATGTGATCAGACCCTTTCTATACCTCTGAGCAAACTTTTTTTTAGAAGATATGGCTCCCCAGACCTAAAACCAATCCTAATTCACCATGAAGCCAAAGGGGATGATGGCTTGCTTGCTTATTCATTATTCTGTTAACAAATAACTGAGCATTCTGGCATAGGAGTCTGCCAAGGGGTGGGGGCAAGCAAGACAAAAGCCATGTGACATCATTGCACAAAGAACGCAAATGATTTACTTGCAGCATTTGGCATCATGACATGAGTGATGCAAATGACATCCTTGCTTCATTTGCATGGGGATGTTGTGATACACACCATGTTGATGTCATTGAGGCTCGTAATGGATGCCTGCATTTGTGAGCGGTTGACTTTTAAAAATCTAAAATAGCAAAAGGGAAAATGTTGGAAACGTTTGACTTATAAATCCATGGATTTGGAACACTAAAATCCCACCAGAAGTTATACAAATAGAGCAAGTGTCCACTGTAAAGTAAGAGTTGTCTGTCCCCAATGCGAGGAACGTTATCTGGAATGCAGTGGAGATCAAGGTTAGGCTATATTTCCTTGATCTTTTCCTGAAGGTGGTGAAAAATGCTCTAACGCAGCTCAGGAGAAAGAACAGAGTAGAATTAGGCCAAAGAGAGGAATACTGCAGAGCATCTTTATAGACTCACCAGGTCATGGACATGAGAATAACAGGAAGTAGAAGCCACCAGTAATATTCACCCTTGTCTGAGAAGACAGCCATTAGCATCCCTACTAGGACACCATTGTAGCCATGGAGTCCAGCAGCAATTGCTGATCTGTGTAGTAAGCATGGGGAGAAATTACTTTGGAAATACAGAACGCAGACACCTATATGGACATTCTTGAACATCACACAAACTCAGGCTTAGCTACCATTTGAAATGTGCGTATCTTCAACATTTCCTGTGTTGAGAAAGGGTGCACCAAAATGCCTCAGATTAAGGGATATCGTTTGCAAGTATTAGGTAGATTGGGCAAAACTGCAAAGAAAAGTTTGAAGAAATGTACCGTATTTTTCCGTCAATAAGACCCCCCCATGTACAAGACGCCCCCATT